CAACCAGCCTCTCTGTGCCCTGCTCGGAGTCGGAACCCTGTCTAGGGTCCTACACATCCTCCAGAGTTGACTCATAGAGCCCCTCGCTGTCGGAGTCTGGTGGCAGCTCCAACGGCTCCTGCTGGGCCACAACATTAATTACAGAATTCTGCTTTCTGAATTTCCTGCCAGATATATTTTTAGAGCAGAACAAGTTTGCAAGGCCACCACAATTATATGGACACCTAGTTGATATAGTGGTGAAGGTGCTGGCCTAGAAACTGGGAGACTTTGAGTTCAAGATCTGCCTTAGGCATGGAAGCCACTGAGTGACTTTTGGGCCAGTCATTCTCTCTCAACACAACTACCTCAGAAAGTTGTTGTTGTGGGGGAAAAGGAGGCAACAATATTAGATATGTATTCTGCCTTGAGGTAATATATAAATGAATAGTTTGGATAAAATAATAATACCAATAAAAACCTCACATGGAGTTGGTTAAGATCAGGAGTGTTAAAGCAACTGAAGGCATTATTTTAGCATCTCAAGAACAAGCTTTATCAACTGACTATGTGAAGATGAAAATTCAAATGTAAAACAACAGCAAATGCAGGCTTTGTAGTGGAAAACGAAACAACTGCTCATTTGATCAGTGGCTACAGCAAAATTTCACATATCGACTACCATCAGCATCATGACTGAGCTACCAAAATTATTCATTGAAATCTTTGCCAGAGATTTGGATTCAAATGCAGTAAAAACTACTGGGACCATCAAACGTTATAACCACTTGTGATCACCCTCTCAACTTGGCAAGCCTTGCAGAATATCTTAATTTATTCATGGTAATGATAGTGAAATAAGCAGGAAAGAGTCAAGCTGTAGTGAAAGAATTAATCCCAAGTCTAAAGAAACACAAGAAAGAATTATTTACCATGCTCATAATGCCACAATCAAAAGATTCCCAGGGGTACCCAGCATAATCTAACATGAATAGTGAATGGTACAATAATACTGACATTCTGACAAGTCAACAGACACACTGAGATAAATCCCATCTAGATACCATTTAAAACATAATCAAAGAACAAGGAAGGAAACCCAAATCCCAGATCAACTCTCCATAGCAACCATCACCCAGATAAGCAGCAAACAGCCCCAGACAAACAATAAGGGAAGAAACAACACCCTAATCAGGGAACCATTAAGGAAGAAATTACATCCCAATAAGACTGGCACTATGCATAAACAATCTGCAAACTTCATTTTTCCATTTACAACAATGATATCGGGTCTCCTGGAAATGAAAAGTCTGCAAGAAAATAACCAAGCTCAGAGCATGCAAAAAGCCCAAGTGTTAAATACTGCATCACATCTATTCTCCACTAATGGAGCACAGGAGAGTCACAGAAATTTGAAATGTGCAATTCCAGTCTTGGCTGGTTTAAGAAAAATAGAGCAAACACTCATGAAAGTGTTTGAGGGTGGAAAAAGATGAATAATTATCACAAATAGGACAAAAGGGAAAAATCTTACCACCACATCTTTTTTCTTTCATACTGCTGGTTCTTGCAACAGTTACATCTACAATAGTAAATAACTGAATTAACAGCTGAATAGTAAAGAATGTCTAAGTAAATATCATTTGACTGCAAGCAAATTATTCCTCAAAAGATACCTTAAGTACGCAAGTTGTTAATTTGCCAGAACAATAATGCACTCAAATCCAGTAAGGACAGTAGTGGTGGTGGTGATGGTGGTAGTGGTGGTGGTGGTGGTGGTAGTAGTAGTAGTAGTAATAGTAGTAGTAGTAGTAGTAGTAGTAGTAGTAGTAGTAGTAATTATTATTATTGTACAATTGTATCACAGCGGCCAGTTGTTTCGCCGGANGCTAGTACGCATGCGTGCACCGCGCGCGTGCACGGGGACGCCGCCGGCCCCGTTCCAACCGAACCGGTTGGAACGGGGCGAGAAACCCACCCCTGGTACAAGCCCTATGTTCTAGGAACAGAATAGTTGAATTATTTGTTAAAGACAGTGATATTTCTATGGATAATGTTGCCTTGTAGTGAACTGGTTCAAAACAGCTTGCTGTTTTCCCCGGCTGATACTAAATATTCCAAGAGAAAAATAAAATGTATATACAAGTAAGCACTTTATTTACGTGCTTATGACAAAGTTCACTTACTGTATAACACAATACTTATGTCTACTCAGAAATCACTCCCGCAGTGCACTGGACTTATTCCCTGGCAAAAAAGTAGAGGGTTACAATCTTGAAGCATCAAATTATAATAATGGTTTGCTTAATACACGTCACCATTTTACATTTTAGCTTGATTTTTAAAACCGTATTAAAAATAGAAGCACTTGTGCTTTTCCATCTGCTCTTAAGAAAAGCAGGGCAAAAAGCAGGAATGGATCTGCAGGCAGGCACAAGCCATCTGCTGAAATTAAGAAAGGCTCTTCAAGATGAAGGGACCTGTTTATAAGGTCTATTTCGTAGAAATAATTTACCATTGCTAAACATTCCTGAAACATTAGGTAAGATTGGTCTATAGTAATTATTATGGAGAGTTTAGACTTGATTTGCAGTCAAGCTGGGAATTGAAACTGTGTAGGTTTCCATTTGTGCTCAGCAAAGAAAGCCACTCTTGTTGTTATGTGTCTCTTAGGATTTACAGTAAAGATGGGATCTTATCCTGGATTTAATCTCGGCAAATGGAGTCTTCAAATTGAAATGCAAAGATGATCATTACTTTTCCGGATTAGCTTCCATAAATGAAATCATTCAGCAAGTTCAAGGAATTAAACAAGTTATTCTTTTTTACAATTTTATTTTTGTTTGTAGGAATATACTCTGAAGGGTGTTTACCTGTTTTTGATATAGTAGCTATACGGATATTCATTGCTTATTCATGGCAGCTGTTTTTATAGTTTAACTTTTTATTTTCATTTCTTTTAGAGATTGGAGGGCCATTTGGCTTGTGATGAGGGTTGTTCTTGTATATATTTTCAACACATCTCATTCACTGGGATTATAACTATTTCTTTTTAGTTTTTAAAAAATTTCCATCCCATTTTTTTAATCAGGATAACTCCATTATCATGGAGTTTTTAGTTCCTAAATAGGATGTCTCTCTTTTTTAAATTCCTTGGTTATGTGGTTCCTTGGTTCCATGTTTTTTTAAAAGTATGTTGTCTTTATCATGGAATGTAAAAAAAAAAATCTTAGATGGATGTTTAAAAAACAATTACTTGCCAAATGGAAAAAAATATTAAACGGCCCCTCCACCATTCTATATTCTTCTATACAAGAGATATATTTTATTCAAAAGATGTCTTGGTCAAGTATTTATTATTGGAAATTCAAAATCTACCAAGGCAGAATCATTTAAATCAGTAAAACTTCAAAATTTGTGGTGATCTAGATCCTTTTCAATAGTGGCATTTAAAAGTTTTAACAACCACATTATGTTTTCTTTATATAATAATTTAAATTCATTAACTCAATAAGTACCATCTAAACATTTTACAAAGTTTTTATTTTTATTTTAGTGGCGGATAATTAAGGCTGGGGATTTCAATAAAATTTGGGGCCTTTTGCTGGCTCATGATGATACCCTTTCAACTAAATTTAGTTCTGAAACTTGGAGGTGGAAATTTAATTTGGTGAATAAACAATAAACGTAAATACAATACAGCAGAATTTAGAAAGTGGGTGATATGCCCTCCTAGGGAAACATTAAAAAAAACAAGGGGTACACGGAAAGTTTTTGGGGAAATTATTAGTGTAAAAAATACAAGAATGTAATTTTCAAATGAAATTAAAATGGCCTAAAATATTCAAGGGAATAAACAATTGAATGGCAGAGAAGGAGACAGAGTTTTGCAAAACAATTTACTCTTTTGAAAGATAGAGAGCTAGCCTGTTTCTTTAGAGTTGTAATAGAAAGATTGAACAATATTATTCCATAAAGAATGTTTAGGGCTGAGTTTAAGAAATGAGTTGTTTGAAGTTTGATATGTCTTAGAGTAAGGTTTTTTGTTGCTGTTTTGGTTTCACTTTTGCAGGTTTTTTTCCTTTTTCTTTCAGTTTATAAATGCAACAAAAATATAAAACACAGTTTGTCAATTTCATAATGAACATTCCAGATGGATCCTTACATACAGGCTGAAAACTGGTGCCCAAGATGCAAGTACCTTGTTTGGTACAGAATTCTATCTATGCCAATATCATGCAGAATTCAGCGAGCCCTTATTTATTTTTTATGAATCGTCCCATCCTGACCGATTGAAACGAACAGTGCCTGCCTATTTCTAGATTTGCTATGTTGCTTGTTCTTCTGCTCCTCTGTGGCACATGCCAGCAACTTAGCTTGCACCCTGATGGTGTAGACATACAAGCTACCAGCTTCTTTAGGACATACCGCATCAACATCCTAGTCTGGCATGGAGGATGAAGTTCTCAAGGCCTCTGCTGCTAAGAGTAATTTCATTCAATAATCTGTTATTTTCTTGGTTTTGGCTTCCCATTCATGGAAGAATCGTCTCTTAGGCAAATGAGAATGCTGCATCCAGAAGGCAGGCTATGGCCCTTCCAATATATAACTGAGAAACTGAAGAGATGAATTAGTAGGATGGTAGCAAGCCTCAAAGTATCCTCCCCCAGACATTTCATTTCTTGCCTGTATAATTCCAATGTACAACACAATACAAATATTGCATTACCAAAGTTTGTTTCTTTACTGCAAGATTGTACCAACACAACTGAGTGCTTTTTTGTTGTGTTAAAGCTGGCAACAACATGGTATTAACAATTCGATATTCACACAGAGGGTTCACATCTTGGAGACCCAGATGAAATTAGCAGATGCCTTTTTAATATTCATCGTAGTGATTCAAATCTGTAAAATAGGCATTGGAATACGCTTTTGCGGTGAGATGTGGATTGAAGTACTTGTTTTGTTCTTCTAGGATGAGATTATTTTTATTAAATGCCTGGGAAAAGAATAAGGAAAGGAAAAGAGTAAATTCTCATTAAAATAAATGAATATTTATGAGGTGCAGTGAAGAGGAGAGAACGAAAAGCAACATTATGGTGGAAATTTGGGAATATGAAAAAAGAAAAAGGGAAACCAAGTAAAAAGATATAATCAAATAAAACAGGAAGTGGTTTAAAAACAATTATTTTGTTGACATTTTGTTGTCAACATTTGTGGGCAACTTGAAAGAACAAAGTTTGAATAATGTGACAAATAATTGTTGAAAAATATATAAAACAGATGAGGAGGAGGAAACCATAACTTACATCACGTTAACATTTTAAAGATTTGAGCACCACTAGAGATGCCACAGAATTTGCATACCAGACTCCGTATGACATGACAGATGGCTTTGGAAGTCAGCTAGCATAATCAGGATATGAAAAGTGCTTTAAAGTGCTGCCATATAATTGAAGAGAAGTTCTGCCTGATCAAGTCTAGAAACAGAATCAGTTCTAATGCTGGTTCTATAGTTTGCATTAAAACTGTGCCTTCATGTATACTAAGAACACACTTACTTTTTGGAATTGAGAGCCATGCTTAATACTCTGCAGGGTATACCTGAGGTCATTCTGCCAAAAATAGGCATGGCTAAAACAAAATTCAAATAATTGAATAAAATTAAATGCACTGAAAAAGCTCAGTGAATTATGTAAATATGTTCATCTGTCACATAAAAATTAGAATTCTGGAGAATTGTGGGGTTGACTGTAACATTGGAACTCTAGCTGTGTCCCTTCTGAAACAGCCCATAGTAATTAGCAATGGAATTTGTCTATCTACATTTGACAACACATGGCCACTATTGGTTCCTTACCTTAATGGCATCTACAGAATCATACTTGTCCAGTTTGTTGAGGTGATTGGTGATGTTGGTGTTCAGAGGTGCTGGGGATACTGGATGAATGACGGTGGCATCATGAGACTGCTGTTGATATCGCTGGCAATAAGTGTAGACCAGAAGAGTCAGAAGGCACCCAAGAATTGAGCTACTCAACCCCACAGCAGTCATGTGGAACAGATTAAATTCTACAAATCAGATGAATGAGAAAATAAAATCAATACCTTATTTAGTTTAAATGTTATAATTTTTGTATATTGCTTATTTCGGGAGCAAAGTAAAATGCTAAATTTTATATTAATTTGTTCTGACCCCCACCTCCGTCCAGTAACGAATGCCGAGACAAGCTTAACTGGAATGTACTTTAATNGCTGTCGGAGTCTGGTGGCAGCTCCAACGGCTCCTGCTGGACCACAACATTAACCTGATTCTGCAAGAACAATCCATGCACTGGAGCAATGATTATGTTTTAGACCAGAGGTGTCAAACTTGCGGCCAGTGAGCCAGATGTATCACATGCTGGCCATGCCTACCTCCATTTTAACAAAGGGGGGGAGTTGTGATATATCACATGACAACAACGTGATGACGCGAATTTGACACCCCTGTTTTAGACCAACATTATGTTGATTAAAAATGTGCAAATTTTTAAAAAATGCAGTTTACATCAAATACTACATCTTTTGGGTGTTCTTTGTTGGATCTCAATGGATCAGCAATATAAACCTACTCTAAAAGGGAACAAATGAAGCTCTCCACCACTTTTTTCTGTTCAAAAATTTTCTGGTCCCCACCACTTACATCCTTAGAGAAACAGAAGGGAGGCAGATGGTGGAGGAGCATATACAGAAATTCTGTCGACTCTAAATTAAAAAAACCTTTAGCTTTTGGGAAATAGAATACACCAGAATTAAGGGTTAAATACATACATTCACATACGTCACTTAAAGGTGGAACAGTTATTAATCTTAATTTCCTATCACGCATCTGGTTCTTGTTCCACATCATTGGGAGCTGCTATTGATGGCAAAGAAGTGCTGAAAATGACATCATGATCATGCAGAATTTGAGAGTTTATCAGTTCTGGACAACTGGGGAGAAGCTAATATGGGACGCACCGTCTGCTCTTATTGTAGTTTTAGCCTATCCTGACTGGGAAAGATTGAAATTGGAAGCTAAACTTCTGGACAAAGCTGGTGAATAAATGATAAAATTGGGGAGGATAAAAGTGGGGAGGAGCCCCCATCTTCTTTTTGCCTTACAACCAGTTATAGATATATCTTCCATTCAGTCTTCTTCCTCTTAGCACCAGGGGTTTTAGCATGGCAAAAACATTTCAAAGGCTTTACAAAATGAGGCTGACACAATCACCAGCTAATGCAAAGGGATAACAATAACATTAGACTTATATACTGCCCCATAGTGCTTTACAGTTGAATTAGTTAGGAATGGAAAAGGCAAAACCTGCAAATGTAAGTGGAAAATATAGCTAAGCAGAGGACTGGTCTGACCACTGTTTCCCATGTGGCTGCTAACTGGAATTAGGCAACTCATCCAGTTTGCAGAGAACCGCTGAGTTTTCTGCTTCAGCTTTTTATGAATGAAAACATGATTTCCACCCTGTATGCTATTTTTTTTGTTGTTGTGGCGAATTCCATTCTGAGAAATCTTCACAGCAATTCTACATGGATTGTGTGGCTCAACAGTGAGTACGAGAGCAATACAATGGGCTCATAGAGCAGGCCCCAACCTAGATGAACAGATGAGGACATCATACCAGGCCTATCCCAATGGGGTGAATGAAACCTACTTCTAGATTCCCCACCAAGATTTGAA